ATTATTGATGTCGCCATATGTCAAGATAGAAATATAAAATTAAATTATATTTATAAAATAAATACAAATAATTACAAGAGAAATTAATACAAAATAGAGAAATAATTTATATAGAAATAATACCTGTAATATTAACAATCAAATTAATACATAAAGAAACAGTAAGAAGATTAAAAACACTAAAATTACAAATTGACTTCAACAATACACAACGAACAAACATTATTAAAAACATGAAATACTTAATATTTTACATATTTAACACTGGTAACACATTATAAGAAGAACATTCTAATTTTTACATATTTTAGAAATGAACTCTAATGTAGAAATAGAACATATTGAAATCACTTAAATAATCACTTCTTAATAATCATAAAATCAAATTGTGGAAATATCTATTATTTGATATTTTATAAGTATTTGTGAATATTCTCATTTCTTAATCAATTCTTATTCTTTTAATTTTAATTTCAATTTTAATTTCATTTATTGTTAATAATTTAGATTTCTTGTTTGTATAATGTTTATTATCATTATATTTACATTGTTTCTTATTTGTTTTTATTTGTGTTCTTCTTTTTCTATTCACTTTTCTCTTGTTATTTCTTTTATCATAATTATTATACATTTTATTGTTATTGAAGTTCTTTCTTTTCTTTGAGTTTGAATACCTGTGCCTTGTTTGATATTCTTTATAAGACTCTATAATATTACTCAATTAATATTACAACAAAATAATGTAATATTCTAAATTGATAAAAGGATATGAAAATAAGAAAGATGATAAAAAAAAAGAAAGATATATAAATTAATCGAAACCAAATAAAGTAATACTTGAATCAGTAGAAGAAACAGCAGTATTAAAACCAAATTGAGTGATAGCCATATTAACTACGGGATTAATTCTATGACCAAAGAAACCATCATAATATTTAATTTCTTGAATCATTTTACCCGATTCACTATTATAAGATCTAATGAATTGTTCAGCACTTCCACAAAGGAAATAAGTAGCAGTAGGATGAGTTACTAAAGTAGTAAGTTTAGGGACATACAGGTTTCTAATTTGACTAGCACGAATATCAATTAAAGCAGCTAAAGAAGGTTCATTAAATCTAGCAACAGCACCAGCAATAATTGTATTTCCAGAACTTGGTCTTGAAGTAGTAATAATTGGAGAATGAGAAATTTTCCAAGTTTTTACTTCTCTTTCTTGAGGAGATAATCTCATATCATATAAATTTACTTTTCCATTAATATTACCTACAAGAAACATATGATCACTAAATTCATTATATTCATTTACACAAGTAATTGATGATTTAATTCTAATATTTGCTTCTAATTCTTCTTTTTCTAAATCCCATATTCTTATTATTGAATTTCCTGCTGTTAATAATCTAGTTTCACCTAATCCAACTACTTTTGCTCCAATATCTGGTAAACATTCTTCCATTACACCTTTAAAACTACTTACAAGAACATTACTTCCACTATCATCCCAATTTCTCCAAATTCTTATTGCTCCATCATTAGTTGATGTAACTAACATTGGAATATCAGTTCTATTTATCCATGTCATTCCACTTATACTTTTATTTCCTAAATTTAAATTATTCCATGTATTTACAACACTTTCATTATTTGTATCAAATACTTTTATTATTGATCCTTTATTACTTCCTACTACTAATAATGGTAATGTTGGATGAAATATCATAATTCCTGGATTAAATTCATGTTCTTCTTCTGTAATAAATCTACCTATTTGTTTTAATTTATGATTTTCAAAATCACTTCCAATAAGTGTAAATTGTGTTCTACTTTCAACATATTTTTCTTTAAACCATTTTCTTTGTGGTGTTATTTCTATTCTTTTTTTTAATAATGGTTGTGATAATTCATAAACTCTTGATTCATATAATTTATTTACAATTGTATTTAATACTGTAATTTTTCTTTTTGGTGATATTGATCTTCTTTCTTCATTTTTATTTGTATATATTTCTAATATTTCATTTAATATTTCTGCTGCTCCATTTACATCAGTATCTGGATCTTCTATTCCTATTTCTACTGTTTGTTCAAATATTTTAGATTCTTTAACTGTTCCAACTAAAATTTTTGCTAATCTTTGATATAAAACTATTAAATGTTCTCTTACTTTAGGACATGCATCATGAACTAAAACTGCTGTTTTTAATGTAATACTATTACAAATTTCTCCATTATCTGTATATGGTTCTCCAATTAATGTAGTTAAACAATTTAATAATGCTACTCTTACTCTTGGATTTGGATCTTGTAAAAGTAATATTAATGAATTAATAATTCCTTTTTTTTGTGCTCTTATTTTAATTTCAATTGTTCCTTCCCATAATTTACTTAAACATAATAATGCCCATGATCTTACTTCTATATTTTCACTTTTAAAATAAAAATTAATTACTTCTAATATATTTGTTTGTATTAATGTTGTTTTAACTTGTGTATTATCTTCTAATAATGTAGTTAAAATAAATAATGCATATGCATTTGTTCCTGTATTTATATTTTTTGTATTATTTTTTAATACATTTAAAAAATATATTTGATGATTTTCTCTAATAAGATTTTGATGAAATGTTTTCTTTTTATCAACAACTAATATTTTCATCCAACAAAATACTAAATATTCATAAAAATCTACACTTGTTGTAGAACTTAATAATTTTAATATATATGGAAATATTCCTACTGCTAATGCTTGATCACATGCCCATGGTCCTAAATCTAAAAATCTACATAATAATTTTAATGCTCTTTCTCTTAATGTTTGTGATAATAATACTTGTAATAAAATTGGAAGTTGCGCTGCAATACAATTAGCTATATTATCTGATTCTAACCATACTTCAAATGCAACTAATTGTTCATCAAAAAATGATGATGTACTTTCATTAAAACTATTACAATGATTATTAATTTGAAGTAAACATAATTCAAGTGCTCTATCCCAAACTACCCATAAATAATGATTTGATGCATCTGGTAAAATTGGATATGATATAGGTTTACATTTTAATGATTGCATTACTCTTTGTGCTAAGAAAAAATTTCTATATAATGATGCTATTAATAAATCTTGTCGAAATAATTTATAAAATAATGGTCTTGGTAATACATTCCATGCTATTGAATCTGTTATTGCTGTAAATATCCAATTTAATTCTCCTAATGGTGTTCTTCTATTATTTAATACTCCTGGAATTCTATCTATTATTGTTGGATCCCATTTCATTAATAATGAATTTTGAATATAATATAATACTGCTACTCTTAATGGTGTTGTTAAACATGATGTAAATAAATCAGCTGGATAAAATGGATTTGTTGGTAACATTTCATCATCTTGACATGATCCAAGAAACATATAATTTTCTCCATTTTTATTTTTATTCTTTTTTTGTTTACTTTGTGCATATTTTTTACACCATGTTATAATTCTTCCTGCACAATTACAATCAAATATATATATACTTGGTGTTCCTATTGTTTGTAATAATTCATATATTTGAAGTGGAATATATTGTGTAAATTCTTTATCAAAAAACCATATCTCTCCATTTAATGTTGGTAATGGTACTCCATGTCCATTATAATGAAATAATATTCTATCCGTATCTGCCATTCTTCTAAATGTTAAACTTAATCTTCTTACATCTTCATATGTTGGATCACAACATGGTTCAATTTTACTTCCATTTTGCCATGATCGATATTGATCTGTAAGATTCGCTGCTATATCATACACTAATTTTCGATTTGTTTTCCCTGCTGTATCTATCCAACATTCTTTTGATGCTGAATCTTTTTGTTTAATTTGGTCTGGTGAATCAGTTCCTATATTTAAACATAATGTAAGTATTAAATGAATCGTTTTTATTCGTTTAGTATTTATTCCTATACTTTCGTCATAAAAAAATGATCTTGTTGGAAGTGGTGTACTATAACATATCCCTTCATACACTGTTTTACAATCTTCTTCTTTCGTCATTTTCTTTTTTTTTTTTTTTTAACTTTTAAGTTCCTTTTTTCTTTTTTTTTTTTTTTCTTTTTTCTATCTTTCTTTATTCTTTACTTTTACTCTTTTATTTTTCTTTTTTTTTTTCTTTAATATTCATTGTTTCTTTCATTTAGATGCCGAAGCATTACAGGAAACACCACAAAAATTATAAAATAATCAATAACAAAAGAAGGTGAAATCAATATCATCCATGAAATGTAAACGATAGAACAATGAGTGAAAACACGTATTATCTGTATGGACAGAAATACATTAATCATCACATTAATCATTACCATATTAATAACTATCACCATAACAATTATCATAACAGTTATAATAATAATGGTAAGAATCGTTTCACTCATCACTTCATTCATTTTCATCATCATAAGTATTTTATCAATAATTCAAATAGAAACAATCAATATTATAATACAAATAAATCACATCATAAAACACAACATAGACATAAACAATACCATAATAAAAAACAACAACAAATAAGAAATAAAAGAAATGATAGAAATACAAAACCAAGAATAATTGAAAAGATTATTTGATGAAGAAATTAAAATACTTACACCACAAGAAATAGAAGAAATTAAGAACACTAAGATTAAAGAATATAATCAACAATAATGAGAAGATGGTATTTACTTGCAAGAGAGAAACATAAAAATGAATAGAAATGAGAGATCATCAGTATGATGATAGAAGAAGAAGATGATAAACAAATAAATCAAAATGAAATAAATGATAAATACTTAAATAAGAAATATACAATGATGAAAATGAT